TTCACATACTTCATTTCCGGTTAAGAGATACGAAACTAAGGCTTTCGATTTAATGCTTTACCGAGCGCTGTGGAGGAGGGTTTATTATCTCAAATTCAAATCTCGTTCTTTATAAGATATCTTATAACCGAATTATATAAGATATCTCATTTAATTTTGTTTATAAGATATCTTATATATTATATAAGATATCTTATAAAAGATATAAGATATCTCATTTAATTTTCTTTATAAGATATCTTATATCTTTTATGAGATATCTTATATAATATCAGAGACTATGATAATATATAAGATATCTTATATCTTTTATGAGATATCTTATAAAGAAAAGTATATAAGATATCTTATAAAATATATAAGATATCTCATAAAAGATATAAGATATCTTATAAAGTATATAAGATATCTCATAAAGTATATAAGATATCTTATATAATTATATAAGATATCTTATATAATTTGGTTAAGTACTGGATCAACATTGCTCCATGCATAAATGACAACTTGGCTTGCCATAGTGGTCAATTTAAACAACCTACTGTGGGGCATCAAAATAAACGTAACACATCATAGACACAAGAAGCCATAGAGGATTAATCGGGTGTTTTTTTTCTTTTACTCTGTTTTGACCCTTGTGACATTGAAAGCGTGTTCAATGACAATCATTAACAACAATTCAATACCCAAACAAGCTGCAGACAAAGTATCATGACACTGGGCCTCATATTTCTGTAGCAGATCAGGTAGGGAGTATTTGACACCTCTGACGTTTGTGAACTTAAAAGTAGGCCACGGTTACTTATCTAAACGAATCGGGTATCTCTCCATCATGGACAACAACAAACCGTATAGCATGACTATTGGTACCACAGTTTTAGTTCTGTAGAAGTCGTTAGAAATGTCAGACACATTTGACTCCTGTAACCTTGAAAGTAGGGCAGAGTAGTGTTATTTTAACAAACATGATAGCCATTTCACAACAGCGTTTCGTATGATATATAACGAGGAGTATTTTCAACCTTTACGTCACTGACGCCCTCTCGTTAACGTTGTTTCCTTATTACGATGTAAAGCGATACAACATTCCTAGTCCCAACATTGTTTTGGTGCGAGATATTTTAACAGAAGCCAAATGGCTATCAAGAAATAATCTTTAGTTTCTAGATGAACATTTGTATCACAAATGCATACGAGTGAAAAAATATCCAACACACATATAGTCATATTTCACTCATGGGTTAACCATTTTCCCCATAACTTATAATTATATACGGGCCTCCCACTAGTACAAACAAATATCAACATATTCAGCTTATTCGTGGGTTGAATATTTCTCACTCGTTCGATGCATTCGTGAATACATCAAATAATCACGCTGCTTGTGAATCATATACCTGTTTTTCATAAAAAAAAAAAAAACATATCCTCAATATATTCACTTTTACAGAGAAACTTGTGCTACTTGAGTTTGCTGTTAAATGCAACTGAAAATTGAATAACCCCCTGATACACATGCACTCAACCAATCGGTATACACATGCACTCAACCAATCGGTATACACATGCACTCAACCAATCGGTATACACATGCATAGAAGATACGAGACAGTCGCAAGAACAACTTGTTAATTTTATTATTATACATTATTGACAAAAAATAAAGTGATTTCAAAAATATAATCACATAAATCATAATAAAAACAACATAAGTGAGGAAAAGGCCAGCTTCCCTTGTTCATTGTAAAATGGACCCATAATCAATACATACTTAATCACGACCGATATAACAGGAATGCTACTGGTACGAGTTTTATTTTTAAATCAATCCTACAGTTATCCATATTAAACTAAAAAATATCTGCATAGATACGGATATTTCCAAACGGCGATTTAACGATGAAGTATTTGTTAACAACGTATTAACATTCTGTAATTGGCGATATCAAATTAAAAAAAAAATTCAAAAAAAAATGGTCAAATTTTTAATTTTTCAATCTTGTCATTTCAATGATTACAGTTTTTATTTTCATAAACAATCATATATTAACATTTCAAAACAAGGCATCAAATAAGGCTATTTTGATTTCACAAAGATCTATTAACCAATATACAAGTTAGCCATGCTAACCAGAACATTTAGGTTACCTCACATATCATTATTCAGTTAAACATTAAATTAGCCATGTTCAGTAGATAATGAAGTATTTCAAAACATTGTCTTTTCCAGTTTAACAACCATTCCGATACATAATTTTGTTCCTGTATATTTCCCTTTATATACTAGATTTAGCAAGTTACACAAAACATCTCAGAGTCACTCATATTAAGAATATTAAATAAGAGCGAAGTGGTCCCAGGGACACACTTTGAACAAAACAGTCTAAATATTGTTGACAACATCAAATAACAGTAATAAAGATTTGAATACTCCCTAAGTCAAGGTAAATTTTAAAGCTTTTGTATCATTTATGTTGTTGAAAAATATTATTGTCAAGTTACATGTAAAACAATCATTTTTGAAGTTGAACTCTGACCGCTGATTATGGCTGCCTCAATGGTTACAATGTTCTGTTTATCAGACCCCAATCTCCACTGGGATCATTAAATCCCTTGATTAACTTGTCCTTCTACAGTAAAAGACTGATTTGTTCTTATAATCTTGAAATTTCACATTTCCTATTTTTTTAAATAACAGTTTATGTAGAATTGTGACCTTGACCTTTGATCTATAACCATCATTGACCTTTGATCTCTGACCATCATTTAGCAAGTCCCCTCTGCCCCAACAAAGGTCTAACTTTCACTTACACAACATTGAACTCCCTTTACCTAGGGATTGCTTCACACCAAATTAGGTCAAAATCCCTTCAACAGATGTTGACAATGGACGCCATGTGACATGCCAGACAGACGTAAAGAGGTAAATCAGTGTGCCCACACAACACAGGGGCCATAACAGCTATAACAACAGTAACACGTGCTTAACATTAAACTTTGTTGTCAAGATAACAATATTTATATCATGAGCAGGACAAAGTCCTGATAACAACATCATCAGGTCTCGTCAGTCAGTACATCAATACTACATCTTATTAGGCAAACAGCAACTGTCTTTGCATTTAAAAAAATGATTTAAAAACAAAGTTTTAACATATAAATTAATGGTATATCATTAAAATGATTTAATTTAGTATATCATAAATCAAACAAACATGTCATTTTTCTAAAAAAATATAAATTAAACTATGCCACAGCATAACTCTAATACTGAGCTTGTGCAGAAAAGGACTTATATGGACTATCAAACAGATTTCTGAAAAAGTTGGTATGAATCAATTTACAGTATAATCTGTTAACCTGGATTCCTGTGATTGTATTCCTCAATGAATGAGTCAACTTCCTCCCCCATAAAGAACGTACCTCCTGGCAGAAGTATATCAGTGTTACATAATTGGGAAAATATTTAATCAAATCTTCACTTGTACATTCAAATACAATATATCTCACAAACATTCATTAAAATGCAGACATAGGTTACATTTTTGTCAATTTCAAATTGCAATACTATACTTCCAGGATAAACAGCATTAAACATCCAAATTCTGCATGAGAAGCATTACTCCAACTGTGATATTTTCTTCTTTCTTCTTATGTAATTTCTCAGTACAATAGGTAAGGGGAGAGGGGTCCTTGATTCATTATTCCCCTCATGGTATCCTCATTGTATAGATAAGGAGAGGGGGGCCTAGCTTCATTATTCCCCTCATGGTATCCTCATTGAAATAGATAAGGAGAGGGGGTCCTAGATTCATTATTCCACTCATGGTATCCTCATTGAAATAGATAAGGAGAGGGGGGCCTAGATTCATTATTCCACTCATGGTATTCTCATTGAAATAGATAAGGAGAGGGGGGCCTAGATTCATTATTCCCCTCATGGTATCCTCATTGAAATAGGTAAGGAGAGGGGGGTCCTTGATTCATTATTCCCCTCATGGTATCCTTATTGAAATAGATAAGGGGAGGGGAGGTCCTTGATTCATTATTCCCCTCATGGTATCTTCAGTGAAATAGGCAAGGGGAGGGGGGTGCTTGATTCATTATTCCTCTCATGGTATCTTCAGTGAAATAGGTTTGGAGAGGGGAGGTCCTTGATTCATTATTCCCCTCATGGTATCCTCATTGAAATAGATAAGGGGAGGGGAGGTCCTTGGTTCATTATTCCCCTCATGGTATCTTCAGTGAAATAGGTATGGAGAGGGGAGGTCCTTGATTCATTATTCCCCTCATGGTATCCTCATTGAAATAGGTAAGGGGAGGGGGGTCCTTGGTTCATTATTCCCCTCATGGTATCCACAGTGAAATAGGTAAGGAGGGGGGGGGATGTCTTTGATTCATTATTCCCCTCATGGTATCCTCATTGAAATAGGTAAGGAGAGGGGAGGTCCTTGCTTCATTATTTCCCTCATGGTATCCTCATTGAAATAGGTAAGGGGAGGGGGGTCCTTGATTCATTATTCCCCTCATTGTATCTCCTCAGTGAAAAAGGTAAGGAGGGAAAGGGAGGCAGGGTCCTAGATTCATTTTTCCCCTCATGGTATCATCAGTGAAATGGTAAAGGATTTTGGCCCTAGTTTATCATTCCCTTAGTGTTATTTCTCAGCGAAATAGGATTCTTATTTTATATATTATTATAGTTCACCTTCTTCTGATTGTAGTGTTTATGTACTGTACAACATACAAAAACAGGTCAAATTCACATTGAAACTAATGTAGATTTCAAGAAAGATATCAATACAATAACAGTTCATTTAGTGGAAATATATCATTGAATTGATTAAAATATCTATGTATCACAGACGATATGACATACATCGTTAAGAGGTTCAACCATAGTTATCAAAAGCAGTCATTTGGAGTTCTCCCATAGAAATGTAATACAAAAGCAACACTTTTATCTGTTTACATTGTTTACATTGTTTAAAACAAGATCTCTCTCAAAAATTGCAGTACTGTAAAAAAAATCACAGTATACTGAAGTTCAAAAAAAATCTTTGCAAGGAAGTCGGATACTCAATAAAAAATAATCAAATAATTCAGCATCATAGAAAGGGAGATAACCCTTAAATACAGCTGAAATACATTGTAATTAGTCTACAGAGTGGTCATTGTAGTAAGTATACATCTATTGTTACTGATAGATGCATGCTATCACCTATTGATAATATTTGATATATACCGGTAGATATCTTTTCATTAAATCAGTAGCATGCAACATTTTCTCATTAGAGTTCAATCTATCTCGTCATTGATACACACAACAAGTCTTCATATCAGTAAACATAACAATAAAACAACAGTCCAGCATGATCATTGTTAGCACAAGTACACAGGTCTTGTTAGGCCTGTCTGAATGTCAATGCTTGTGAGAAAGTGCACTTGTCATCTAGTAATAAATAAATACCAAAAAAAGCTTGACACACACATCTAACAACTTATCTCTACCCAATAATGCAGTCCATATCTATCTTTTATAATCAACATACAAACACTTCTAAAAACAATGTCTATATAAAGTCAACATTTTAGTGTGTTAGGATTAAACATTCAATAAATATAACTGTCAGATTATATCACATTTTCAATCTGGACAATTTTTGAAATTACAAACTTATGGGAAATAATTGCACTGAACAATTTTAATAACATACCGATCAACAGTATGTAAACAAACCTGTCGTAAATATCAACGATCCAATTATTGTCAACAGCTTTATAGAATAATAAACAGTACTGTATAGATAACTATCGAAGAATTCAACAAATATGGACATTATTATAAAAGACATGCACCCTGCATACATCGTTTGTGTTGTGGAGTCACATGTTACTTAATGTACAGTGTGCACACATGTGCATACAACATGCAAACATTGTGCACATGATAAAAATCTAGGCAATAACATCTTGCACACATCAGGGCACTTGATGGATGAACAAAAACTATGAAATAGTGAGCAAGATTGATGTAAAGTTAGGAATGGCTTATGGATAAAGACAATTTCATTTTTAAACCTATTACATGTACATTTTTTTGTATATAATCATGATTTTAAAGTTTATTTTCATATTTAAACGAGATGTTAAGAGCATTTATCCTTTTGTTATAATTTAGAAACATATTTTTTAACATATTAACACAACATCCAGCTGTGTTTTGGTACCCATTCCACCATTCTGACCTCCATTTATACTTTGTAGATTAAGTGGTTAAGAAAAGTCGGTCTAGCAGGATACATAGTAGAATTTCTTGTCACCCAAAAAACAGTTTGTCATAATTTTCATCGGATATAATGCAAAACATACTGATTAGAAATGAAATACCTGCATTATACAAGTTTTCTGGTCATTTAGTCTATTTTTTACTTCATTCGTTGATACTGATCAACCTTATCAAACCAAAATCACTTATTCATGTGAACGGTTGTCAATTGTACAACTTCACAATTGTGAACACCATGTATGGATGATGTAAATGCACACTATGTACAAAGGTATTTTTGGTGAGTTGTGCAGTCACAAAAATGTATATCTCTGTATACATCATACACATACAATGAATAGTTGAATACTTGGGGCATACCAACGAAGTATGGTGTTCAGTTGTGACTGGACCAAGAGAACAACTATCAGTCATGTCATGGAGCATCTATTAAAAACATAACAACTGTGTGGGTCAAGTATTCAGCTGGTGTTTTCAGTGTATATCCAGTGTGTTTATTCAGCATATGTGCATGTGTTTAGTGTGTAGTCAGTGTATATCCAGTGTGTTAATTCAGCATATGTGCATGTGTTTGGTGTGTAGTCAGTGTATATTCAGTGTGTTTATTCAGCATATGTGCATGTGTTTAGTGTGTAGTCAGTGTATATTCAGTGTGTTTATTCAGCATATGTTCATGTGTTTAGTGTGTAATCAGTGTACAATTATTCAGTGCATCATTATATGGTGCGGTGTATGGTGTAAAATATGACATTCCTCTGTTGTGATAATAAAGCTATTCTTTATAGTGTATTTGGACAGTCCAGTATATATGGTACTCTCACAAGGTCAGTACCAGATATTTGCAGAGTTTGCATTAGACACACTGACAGTCTCAAGTATGTGCAGTTTCCGTAAGATTCCCTCCCAGCCGACTGAGTGTATATGTGGGTGTATAGATTACGTGTACTTGGCACCTTCCCCGTTACTACTGTAGTGGTAGTAGTAGTACTTGATCCTCATGTAGGTGTAGTAGAAGTTGGTACGGATACTGCCACAGGTGATGGAGTGTGGGTTGAGTTTACAGTACAGATACGAGGCAAGCACCACCATCAACACACAGCAGATTAGCAGTAGTGCCCACAACACCTTCTTCGCCAACATTTCGTCTGACGCTACAAATAAAAAGGATTATCAAATATCAGCATAGTTCCTGAAAATTCATTATATCCAATAACAGAAATAATGGCACACAATAAATATATCAGTCGTTCTCTCCAAAACGTAACAAAAACAATCGGGCATACATGATCTTGAAAGGTACAAAGAGAGATAACTCTTATGGGGCATTCTACAGTTAAACGAGCATGCTGACACTGCAATTAGCATGCAAGGATAAATTATCAAGGACATCTTTATCTTACCATGATCTTGTTCATGATTTTGGACTTGAGATTCATGAAATCGGACCTTCTTCTCTTCTTTTTCCCCTGAAGAAATAAAGAAAGGTTTTATATGTCAGAGCTACCATCACAAACAATGCAAACGGCATGTTAGACAGAATTGGTGATTCCATTCAACTTGGAAACACTTTCCAGTTTCCAGGAAGACAATACCGTACCTTCATCATTTAACTTCAAAAGAATAATAATGATTATTTTAAACTAAAAAATCCACATTCAGCCCACCTGTCTTTCTCTTGCGAAGTATGGATACAGGTGATGCAGGGTCGTTGTTTTGTTCACTATTCTCATCCCCCTCAGGACTACTCAGTTTCTTCATGGATTCTGACCAAACAAAAGCACCTTTGAGTAAATGTTACAAAAATCAAACAAATTCCTTGTTATGTTAATAGATGTCGGTGACACATATAATATGATTTCAATGTTCCAGGAGTATAATTACAGCTATACCAATGCTACCATTGTATGATATTAGTTCTACATATCACAATACTTCATCAGTCATTGACTTGGTGTTGGTTTAAATAATGCACACTGGAGGATCATTGAGACAACATATTGATTCTGTGACGATTTAAACTTGGACTTGTTTCCATGGTTACACTCTGCAAAACAACTACATATAAGTTAGTTTGTTAATTTGCATTTTACGCCCCAACTCCTTATAGTCATTGAAGGAGCTGGGTTATGGTGGTGGAGGAAAACTGGAGTACCAGGAGAAGAACCACTGGCCTGCGATCAGTACTTGGCGACTGCCCCAGGTAAGCTTTTTACCAACGACCCACTAGTAGAGGGCTAGTGATTGTAGATGTTCAGACACCTTAACCACTCTTGCCACTGTGGCCTATTAAATGAAAGTGAAGCCCGATTTAGACTATTACCTTGGTACTGTTCCTGCCCGACTTTAGCGTAAACTGAGGTAAAGAAGTCAAGGCTCTGTACTGTGACAGGGTGACTGTCACCTAACAGCTGCTGGCGGATCTTTGTTGCCTGAAATAGAAAAATATCACATCTCTATCACGTTCTTATATCAAAAGTTTTACCAAAGAATTGACAATTTCAGCATAGAAAATGTAATGCTCACAATCAGGTTATTAATGAACCTTTTATATTTTATAGAAAGTCAATATATTTTTATTGTAATAGATGAATTTTCTGGTTATGCTTTATCAGCACAAGTGGCAACTTACCTTGCCTGCATACTCCAATGCAAGTTGTGGCCTGCAACAAAATACAGAGAATCATTTTAACAAACTTTTCATCAGACACAACATAATCCAGGCACAATTTTTTGGAGCCATATCATCAGGTGAATGTTGTTCAGATCAACCAATGAAAATGTTGGAAAACTGATAATCAACTGTTAGTACAGGAGTAATCACTTTTCTAGCTCTATGATTGGATTAAAAAAAAAGACAAATCCTGTCCCAGTCAGTACAATGTCACCATTACAGTATGGTCTCTGAGTTGACTAGCATGGAGTAGCTATTAAATAAGCTTAAAATACATTTGTATTCGTATCTATTTAGATGCATGAAGCATAGTCTTCAATCATCTATTTGTAATGTTATGAAATGATGCTGATATGTAGGTTCTGTTCTCAGCATTTGTCTGTACATACTCTGTACCTGTAGGGGATCATACAAACCAAACTGCAAAATGATCTTTGAGGGCTTTGTAATGTTCGTTCTATGCTAGATTTTCAAATCCAGCGACAATGGGTAACATGTATACCAAGTTTCATCATGATCAGCATATTGCTTCCTGAGAAATAGTGGTAACAAACTTAACATGCAATATCCATACAAAATCCAGGATGAAATGATGGCCATTTTTCTACAAGCCTAACTTGAAACAGGTGAACTAGCTAGGAACAAAGAGAACCATGTTTTGTCATGAACTTTTCTGTGGCTACCCAAGATATAGCAGTAACAAACTTGAAAGACAAAGAATAGGATGGCTGCCAGACAGCAACTTTGCTTCTCCGATCAATCCAAAATTGGAGTATATGCATACCAGCTTCTTCCTGATCCTGATTAGTTACTTTGAAATAGCAGTAACAAACATGTTTACAGATGGACCACAGACAGAAGAAATTGAAACAGTTTTGATGATGCTGTTTAAACATAAATGTATCAAGCTTACCTGTGGAATTATCTACACAAAATGAATTGATGATGTATTTACCTATAGATTGTGTATATACTACAGTTTATATACTACAGTGTATACACTACACTGATAGCATGTATGGTATGTCTACAGTAGTGTACTGTAGATCTAGATTATCCATCCCCTGATATGATCACCATACTTGCCAACTCTCCTTATTTTGGAGGAAGACTCCCGATTTAGGACACTAAAATTGAGCATTTTCAACCAGTGAACTTGCTGAACTATTCCTATTTTCTAAGATCTGATGATTTCAACAAGCTAAAAAGATGCTGTTAAAAGTGCTGTGTTTTCCCGAGGATGTACATACACACCTTTTATTTATGTTTTTAATTCTTTACACACCATATCTCCCCTCTGACGGAGGATGTACACACACCATATCTCCCCTCTGACGGAGGATGTACACACACCATATCTCCCCTCTGGAAATTTCAGAAAGTTGGAAAGTTTGGATCCCGTGGCTTTTTTGTATAATGTACTTAAAAAAAAGATTACGAACAAAACAATGCCAAAGGTAGACAACTCACTGGTTCTTATCCAAACAGAGTTTAGCCAGGTGTTCATATTCCTCAGCACGGACAGAGTCCATATTCTGGTCCACTTTCTCACCATTTTCTTTAATCTTCTCAGCCTCATCTAAACAAATCAACCAGATCAAACAGAGCTATAACAGTTCTCTTTTCAACTCTTTTGAACTCATAAAATCGTACTGATGATGATATCACTATTTACATTTAGGTGAAAATGTTCATACATTACTAAAATTGGACAGACCTGAAGGTTAATGAACACATTCTAGAGAAAACCACATAAAAAGTCGGTATCTGCAGACAGATCATTTAATCCCAACATAAATATGAAAACGCTGAGGTGCTTACCTAATCTTGCCTGAATTTCCGTGTTGTCTATTAAGACGGTCTCGTAGTACATCTTCTCAGCTTGTATAAAGTGGACGGCTCTGTTTACTGGGTTGGGTCAAGGATCAATACCAGTAATTATTGTGTTTTACAAGTATTCTATTACCATGTATAGGAGGAAACCAGAAACAATAGATCAATGTAATTCGAGGCCAACAAAAATTAAACACTGCATCTCTAATAGCTATATGTCTCCATGACAAATGGCTCCTAGCCCCGGGATCATGAAATAAACTTGAGACTTAAATTGCTTAGCCAATCATGTGTGACATTACTTTTCATACCTTTGTTTGTGATTGGTTAAGTCAAAACTTCACACAAATTTAGACTTTAAATCAAATTATGATCTTGACATCTGTGCAGTTTAAGACTGCCATCTTACTGATACATGTAGGTCACAGCCTGGCCACAGTAGCCTGATGCCTCACTCAGTCACAATATCCTGATAACAAGCTGACCACATGTGCCTAGATATAACATCAAAAAGAAAGTGTACAAGGAGTAATACAGTATGGGAAAAAAAGCTCCCAAAAGTTGCAATGCCAATAGAAGACAATCATTAACAAACATTTCTGTAAAAATGGGGGGAAAAACAAAGGCTCAAGAAAGGTAAGCAACTCCTCCACCATATATGTGACACCTGTTACGATGTCTCCTGTACATGTATATCCAGAAATTATATCTTCAACCTCAGATCACTTAATAATATTTATATTGTTTCTTTTCATGGTCCCAGCAACTCGAAGACAACTGGTTTCACTGATATCAGTGATTTTTCCTAATACATTCAGTCTTTAAAAAAGGATACGTTCATCTTTTCGGTAAAATATGTCAGCAATCTGGAAAGAAAAATAAGAAACGTAAAACCTTTATGTTACCAATACATTGTGTGCTGTATAATCATAGAACAACAAAGGCAAGAATAATATGAACGGTGCATAATAAGCCTGCTACTGTCTGACACATGACATTATCTCCAGCCTGTTATCATGTTTTTCAACTTCCTAAAGATTGGTAAAGATGGAGAAAGCGATAAAGAAGTCTTGACCTACTGTATACACTTGGGTCTAATCCTCCTCGACAACGGACACTACACGAAGGTTAAATTAATATGTAGTAATGAATGATTCATTTGACAAACAAAAAAGCTTACATTGCGTAAGCACTGAGGCAGCAGTGGAAAGTGGCTGTCAGGCTGGAGGCTCTTTACACTGGCCAAGTAGCACTTGAGGGCACAGTTTTTCTTGCCATTTTTGTCATAAGTGAGGCCTTTTTCAAAAAGTGCATTCCTGCCATTGCTGTCCAGTTGTGTAAGGTCCCCTAGATCTACCTCAGCATCTACAAAAACCAATGACAAAATTATCTTTCCATCTTCAAACACCAATGTCAGATACCACTCCATATACAAACACCAATGTCAGTTACCTCCCCTTATACAAACACCAATGTCAGTTATCTTCCCTTATACAAACACCAATTAATGTCAGTTATCTCCCCATATACAAACCCCAAAGTCAGTTACCTCTCCATCTACAAACACCAATGTCAGTGATCCCCGCCCCCCTCCACAAACAATCTTTTTATTACAGACGGGTGGACACAGACAGACAAACTGACAAAGCGATTACTACATCATATACCTTGTAGTGCACTAGTGGTATCAGGACATTTGTTTTTGGTGTAGAGATTATACAGTGTAAAGCTATATATGTTTCACTTTAACTTTAAAATAAATAGAAAATAAGGTACTTGACTTCTTAAACAAATTAACTTTAAAATGCACAGTTTACAAAATACATTGAACTCAGGTAAGTAATATAATAAATCAATTCTAATTCTAATCAGTGTTTACCGTCATCCTCGATGGCTTCCTGATCTTGTGTTTCCTGGTTCTTTTCTTCGTCTGGAGGGACTGTTGTTTCTCCGTTTTCTGTGCTGCTCTCCTCACTAGAGGCTACACCACTGTCGGACGACTGTACATCCTGAGAACTCTCAGCTTTGGTTTGTTCTGGCTTGTCAGGATTACATTTTGTTGAATCTTCTGTCGTTTCAGTTTTGTGCTCATCTTTATCCTGTATATCTTCAACAGAATTGTTTCCATCAACCGATAAAGACTGCAAATCCATTTCCGTGGTAGTAATAGTTTCTTCTGCCATTTTACCCTGAAAGCAAGAATTTCATTTAATGAAATCACAATTGAGTTAAATTCTGTGCTGGAATGCATGTATTCGAAATATTTGAAATAAATGCTTTAAGCTTTTGTCATTGTGAATAACACTGTTACTGCATAGTTTTTAAATACAATTTATATCCACTACTGTTCCTTCATGATATATATTCTGTATAGAGTCTATAGAGCTCTGATTGTTTAGCTGTGATCTTTATGATGTGCATGGTCACACAAAGACAAATCATGATCACTGTCCAATGTATCCACCAAGACTGACAATTGCATGGTCTCATATTCTTAGATATCACTTTCTACTATAAGGTTATATAGAGCTAACAGAAAGTTCCTTTTTAAAATCTTTATATTTCCACATTTTATTTTTTTCTAAACAGAAAGTCATATGGCATGTGATATTGAATTCAAAATGGTGGCATTCATTGAAGACTTGATGATATGTCTTGCATTGCACCATCTTTCTCCAATATTCCTTAAAAGTTATCTGCTCAAATTCAATGGTATAATCATTCAAAGCCAGGTCATTTTCAGTTAATGTCTTCAACTTTTTAAGGCAGGTAATTTTAATTAACTTTTGTATCAAACACTTTGCTGTATGTATCTATCGTTATAAAAAATCTGACATCCCACGTGCACGATCGCGAATTTGAAAATTGACTCAACTAATCTTTACAAAACCAACTGCAAGTAAGAAAGCTAGCTGAAACATTTCCACATACATAATACTATAACTAGTTATATAGTAATGTATATGTCATTATAAAAAATAATTAACATTCGTTTCACAAGAAAATGAGTTTAAATGCACTGGTATAGCCAGTGAATGCTGCAGTACTAGTTGACACTAACATCACAGACATGAACTATGGGGCATAGAACACTACCCTAAAACCTATAAAGGAGCGCTCAAAAATTACATTTACAATCTATTGACAAAATTCATTCTAGTGATGAAATTTATTCTAGTGAAGTCATGATCATTTCTCTGATTTTGATAAAATTTCACTTCGATAAAACGAAAACATACATACAGCTGTTTATCAGAAATGCTAATTCACAACTGGCAGCGAGCTAAACACAATTAAAAAGTCAATTTTTAATCAATAAATAAACAATAGGTCCTAACGACTGACAGCATAAACAGATTAGTATTTTGGGGCCGAAACGTCCATCATAGATTATTAAACAACCATTGTTTGTAACGAAGATCGAATTATGGAAAATACCAAATAGGTGTATTATTTTATACAGCTAAAGTTGTCTATGGTCCAAATTTCAGCGACAACAGTCCTATGACAAAACGGGTCGAAGCATTGTCATTCGCAAAACTAGCAAACATGGACGCATGTTGTTTATCGAATCACTACGGTCAAGACATCGTTCTTGTCATATTCTTCCCAAGGCTGTTGGAACATAAAAGTAACCTGTCGTAAGTACATGCATGTTTACCATACATACCTGTAAAATTAATTATATCATATTTGACTAAAACATTAAACTAGTCACAACAGGTTCGCCGACCATGTCCACCATATTAGATAGCAACTATTTCCTCTTCCGCTTTCTAATTTTAGACCCCATAGATGTTATTTTTAGAAAGATCACGTGTTATTTACTCAAAGTACTGGCCAAGTCGGTCGTCTACAGTACCTACCACAATCTGACAATGATGAAGTGATCTGCTGATGAACCGATAAAAAAGACTGTTGAATTAAAAACATCTACCAGTAAGTATCAAGGAATCATTTGCACGGTGTTTTTTATCAGAGAGGTATATTTTATTTTGCATTTGCATAAATTTAAATTTAAGTTGAATTATTAAAAAAAGGTTGTTGACGACTGTTTCTCTGTACCTGGTACCCCGACCTACTCATAGAGAATAAACCGAGGTTTTCACACAGATAAAGAAAATTTAATTTAATTCTTCGAACATGATGTAATTGTTGTAATTAAGACTACTTATTAGAAGCGGTTTGTATCCTTAATGTACTTACATAGTTAAAGGTTTTACTGTTTTGTTCAAAAGTGAGATCATGATTACCCCAGAGAAGTGTGTTTATGTCTGTTAGGAGGATCTCTGGAAGATTTAAGTTCCTAAGATTTCTTACCAGGTGATTTCTTGCATTTGTTCCTTTTGGACATGTACAGAAATAGTGATGTACATTTTCTACTTCCCCACATAAACATAACAGGTTATCACTGAGGTTAACTCTATAAATGTCATATTGAAGACTGCTGCATTTGTTCCTAAGTCTGGTGCGTAAAATTGTAAATTTTCTATCTCCTACTGTTAAAATTTTTGGAATAGAAACAACATCATGTTTGAAACAGTTTTTAAATGCAACAAGAGAATGGGTTGACTTTATACAGGAGTTGAGGAAATTCCATTGTGTTACAGATGATGGTATGAATGATTTTCTAAAAAGTTCTGTCCTACATCGTGGGATAGTGAAATCGTCTTGGTTACGAGTAGCATATGTTGATGTTTCAGAACGGAGACTAGGAAGGATTTCTACCAGATAATTTGGTGTCATATCGTTTTTTATTTTGAAAAGGGTTGATAGCTTAATATTAACTAGACGTTCGGATATTTAGATCTCCCATATCCCATCTCAAAGTAAAGCGATTCTCTTGATGCGTATACAGGTAGGCCGGTAACTACTCGAGCTGTAAGTAACTGAACTCTTTCAAGTTTTTCAGAGTCTTGTTGAGAACACCCATCCCAGACTACCGATGCGTACTCCAATAAGGGACGAATATATGTTTTATAAAGAACAGATAAAGAATATCTAGACACTGAATATTTAAGTTTTTGGCATATTTAATTTTCACTCTAGTCAGAGTATATAATCCTGTTGTAGGTCTGTATGTAGTTGACATGCAATGCATTAGCCATAGGTAGATTGATATTTACAGTAATTAATAAATATTTAAAATAAAATTCCGTTGACCTTTTAATTGATAGGCCTACTTTTTGTCAGCTGTTTGTGTTAATTAACATCTCTTTTCATCTTTTAGGTACTTGTGGAATTACCAACGTCTGTGAAGATGAAAAACGACAGAATCGGATTGGTCAATGATCATGATGACATGAAAAATCACTGTAGCAGTTCTGTCTGCACTGGCAGATGCTTAAGCATAATTTTCTTCTGTATTGGTGTGGTGCTGATGTTATCCATGGGACTGGCCTTATACTTCAGTCTCCATAAAGACATCATGACAGTGGCGCCTGTTCCTGCTCCAACAGTGGTGCCTCCTCCACCCTGTAAAGACCCATGTGTGTAAGTATCAGCCACATGAAAGTGCCACCCTTTTAATAAGTCCCCATATGTTAGGACCCCCTCCCCCNCCTAAAAAAACCAACATACTAGCTGTCTCCATCCCTGCATGGGCAATTGTATTTGGAAGTATTAAAATAAGTCCAAGAAGTACTATACATGTACTACAATGTAGCTTATAATAATCGGTGGTTATAGGTTCCAGACAATACTGTGGTATACTAGTTCCCTTTTTTATTGCTGAGTCTTGTGTGTAAATATTGCAATTTAGTACACCACGCATGCACACCTGGTCTATATAAATAGTTTTTCGTCCTCCTACAAGTACACAAACTTTGTAAGCATAGTTACAATATGGTCCAGGTTCAACAGCTCTATATAGATCTCAAGGTTAGAGTCTCCCTGCAGTGTTATGTACCCTCTTCCCCCAGTACAGATCTAGACTTAACTTGTGTATGTGTTCCTTAGTGCCTCCCCCCTGCATGAGTTAGCTTATATGTACCACATCTGTGTTCCTTAGTGCCTCCCTGCATGAGTGAGCTAATATGTACCACACCTCTGTTCCTTAGTGCCTCCCCCCTGCATGAGTTAGCTTATATGTACCACATCTGTGTTCCTTAGTGCCTCCCTGCATGAGTGAGCTAATATGTACCACACCTCTGTTCCTTAGTGCCTCCCCCCTGCATGAGTTAGCTTATATGTACCACATCTGTGTTCCTTAGTGCCTCCCTGCATGAGTGAGCTAATATGTACCACACCTCTGTTCCTTAGTGCCTCCCCCCTGCATGAGTTAGCTTATATGTACCACATCTGTGTTCCTTAGTGCCTCCCTGCATGAGTGAGCTAATATGTACCACACCTCTGTTCCTTAGTGCCTCCCCCCTGCATGAGTTAGCTTATATGTACCACATCTGTGTTCCTTAGTGCCTCCCTGCATGAGTGAGCTAATATGTACCACACCTCTGTTCCTTAGTGCCTCCCCCCTGCATGAGTTAGCTTATATGTACCACATCTGTGTTCCTTAGTGCCTCCCTGCATGAGTGAGCTAATATGTACCACACCTCTGTTCCTTAGTGCCTCCCCCCTGCATGAGTTAGCTTATATGTACCACATCTGTGTTCCTTAGTGCCTCCCTGCATGAGTGAGCTAATATGTACCACACCTCTGTTCCTTAGTGCCTCCCCCCTGCATGAGTTAGCTTATATGTACCACATCTGTGTTCCTTAGTGCCTCCCTGCATGAGTGAGCTAATATGTACCACACCTCTGTTCCTTAGTGCCTCCCCCCTNCTATTTACCTCTTGGATATGACTGGTCATATGTGTGTATATATACAGGTGTCATATTGTGCACACACCTATAGATTAGCAACAGGATATCCTTATCAAATGTAAACAAAGTCAATCTACAATATTTGGAGCTAAATTACGTAATTGTGATAACACTGACAGTTGTGTGATATCGCACAACAATCCAAAACTACTATGCATTTGCACACCGCACATCATGTTATGTTGTGTGATCACGGTGTACTTCTGTTGTAATTTCACTAACTTTATACAGACTTTCATTTCTAGCTGGTTTATTATTAAGTCAAATATTATATAAAATTACAGTCCACAGAGCAGACAGCTGGCCCACCCTATGGTAGGAAATAAAATAAAAATATAGTTAAGTGGTGGGGTGGAATTGTTACCAGACACTGGTTTTATAAACATTGCATGTAAAACATGGTATTAGTGATGTGGTAAGGGGGCAACAATTGTACATATACATTGTATGTGATCACATGAGTCGCCTTCTACTTTCGCGCTTAGGGGAATTCAATGCTCAATAGGTAATTGGCAGCTGGTAGCTGCTGGTTCAAGCTTGATCCCTTGTGGAAGCACACTACTCTAGATCTCTTTCCTGTTACCAGTGGTGTTCGTTGCCCTGTCTGTGGTGACACCGGGTTATTATCAGATTCTGGGTTATTAGAGTACAGTATTACTATCACATTTTAGCTTCACACTACAGGAAATTTATTCTTTACTCTTTGGTAGCTGTTTGCTGGTTCAACCATATGAAAACACACTTCTCTCCTTCCTGTAATGTATTTATATCACTTATTTTCCAAGTGGAAACATATGACATGGTCAAGACGATTTAAAGGAAATTGGTACTAATGCATCGATTACTTTTAAGCTTCAAACCAGACACTTAAATTATCATTCATTGTGACACTAAATATATTTCATCCACAAGTAGTTTGTACCAGATAACTGAATGGTCTGTGGTAGAAGTATGGACTTATTGGACTTTGACTTGACAAGCACTTATATTTAATATAAGCTGATAATGATTCAGGAAAGTCTGGATTACAGATGTACATGACACTAGTGGAGTTGTGTTGTACACTTTACTTATGATAAATTGTCATCTAATGACTGTACAAATATATGAATTAAAGGGTACCACTGCATTGGTTATAATAGCAAAAAAGAGTTTGACTCTATTTTTTTTTTACTTGAGTACTGTCCCTTCTATAAAAAAAAAAGAAGCAGCCAAAAAAGACTTTTTGTGGCTAAGAGTTACTTCCCTTAGATGCTGTTTTGGTATAAATCCTGTATGTTTTTTTCTTGTTTTCTTTTTCTTTTTCCAAGCATTCAAATTTCAAACAGTACTGTAAAATGCATAGCAAAATGCATATTGGTAAAGGCTTAATGAAATGTTTTACAGTAGTGACGATGGTAATGATATAACTTAACTCACCGTTAACTCACCGTTGTCAACGTCATACCATTAGTCTTCGACTACTACTGACGCTTCTACTAAAAACTTGTTGGTACCCTTTACCTTAACTAGGGGTCATTGCCTAATTTTAAGAAATATGATAAAAAGATTGTTCTTAGCTTGTAATGAGAAATCTTTTTTATTGTTTAAGCTTGAACATTTTATAGATTAAGTGATTTTTGGGACTCAGATATTTGACTCCAGGACCAATGCTTTCCCTGTGGGACTAACCAGCTTTTTGAGAGCCGTCTTTATCTCTAAGCAATGGGACTCGGTAACATTGAAAAATACTACGCTGAGTCCAGAGGAAATGAAAACTTGAAAAGACTCCAGAGGGAATGCTGTGTACACAATCCCATTTTAAACTTAATGCTTATTTATTGTCTGTTACAGAATCACACTGGTAGAGAGTATCCCTGAGAACCTAACCTACCCAGCAGGCTCCCCATCACACCCCTCAACCTACTCAGCTCTCATAGACTTGATGGAGATGGCCACCTCACAGATAGAGATTGCCTCCTTCTACTGGACTCTTAGTGGATCAGACATAGAGTACCACGACAACTCAAGCTGGCAGGTATACAAAATGTTCAAATTACCCCATTATCTTCAAATGTCAGGTAGATGGATATACAATGTAGATGATGTATATTAATACAACTGAATGTGGCAGGTATTATACACAAAATGTACAAATACCCCTTCATCTTCAGCTGCCAAGTAGCTAGATTGATAAACAATATATATGATGTATATAAATACAACAGAAGTGGCAAGGTAGCCATACAAAATGTACAAAATACCATAACTACAAATATGCAATTATCACAGTACAACTCTAATTGGTAGGGAGATTTACAACATGTGAATATAATGTGACACTCTCCAGTCCAATAACCAGGTATATATATACTACCAGGTAGATATACAATATACTACTAGATATACGATTTACTACAAGGTAGATATATAATATACTACTAGATATACAATATACTACCAGGTAGATATACAATATACTACTAGATATACAATATATTACTAGATATACAATATACAACTAGATATACAATATACAACTAGATATACAATATACAACTAGATATACAACATACTACCAGGTAGATATACAATATACAACTAGATATACAATATACTACTAGATATACAATATACAACTAGATATACAATATACAACTAAATATACAATATACTACCAGGTAGATATACAATATACTACTACAACTACATGCGGTGGTCAGGTGGTGCAGCATTAGCGCACTTGCCTTTCACCAAGGCGGTAGGGGGTTCGACTCCCCGATCAGAGGTGAAAAGGTATTGGGTGTCCTACTCGACCATGTGGGTTTTCTCTGGGTATTCCGGTTTCCTCCCACAATAAGACCCCCCCGGGCCAACAAGAGTGATTATATAAATATAAGTTGAAATAACTTGTTTTATAATTGTTGTAAAATAAATAAAAGTTTATACTTACTACATCTCAAGCTGAAAGGTAAACATACTATGTCCTGAACTAACGGTACTGTATGTGATTGTCTGTGAGAGTATTCATTGATACATTAAATGTTATTTGATAAATAATTGTTACTTGTCAGGGGGAAAGTGTACTGAGCACTTTAATGGCAGCTGGCCGTTTCAGAAAGCTGAAGATAAAGATTGCCCAGAACAAGCCAGACAACGGATATTACAACAACACTCGAGACCTAGCCAGATATGGTATGACATGAGATATCAGTGCCAAATATGATTATGTGATCATAACCAGAAAATAGCTGATATAGAAATGACAAATAATGAAATATATTCAACACATAAGGAAATACAAGATACAGCTAGGGTATTTACGTACAGTGATTACCATAGTGAGCCCATTGGTCAATGCAAGTTGCAGAGAGTCCATTTATTATAAGATGTTTACATTTCACTTATAAACGTAGTAATGAGCCATGTTCATCTACAGCTGGAGCTGAAGTGAGGACCCTTGACTTCAAAAGTTTGATGGGAAATGGCATTCTACACACCAAGATGTGGCTTATTGACCGTAAACACTTCTACGTTGGAAGTGCCAACTTGGACTGGCGATCCTTTACTCAGGTAAGTACGATACTTAACTCAGGTAAACGCGATCCTTAACTCAGGTAAGTACGATACTTAACTCAGGTAAATGTGTATATTGTTTGTCTACAAGTTCATATAACACAACCAGTGAATTGTTTATGTACAAAGTTTCAATCATTAGTACAATATGTATTCTGTGATACCTTCATGAGACAATTGACTGGCAAAGTGTATGTATGCTTAGATGGAAAGTATGAACAAGCTAGCGCTTAAAAAATTGCTGTACATTCAGCTATGCTATAAGCATGTGTATATATAATTGTTATAAATGTACAAAATGACAATCAAATTGACAAATGCATTCGGCTGCACACAGCCATTATATTAGCTTGCACTATATTTAATGTGAGAGTTAGTTAATTTGTCAGAGGTACATTTAATACCTGTACGTACTCCATTAGAGGTGGTGGAGACACAGTACATCTCAGATATCCAGCTGTACCTGTACCGTATTTATTCTGTAGGTGAAGGAAATGGGTGCAGTTATCCGTAACTGTCCCTGTATGGCGCGGGACATGGGCAAGCTTTTTGATGTTTACTGGGACCTAGGACTTCCAGGTGCCAAAGTCCCCTCCCAATGGCCGACATCCTACAACACAGATATAAACAATAATAACACCATGGAAATCAACTTCAATAGCACCAATGTCGCGGCCACCACCTACATATCTGTGAGTAACTGTTTAAATGATGACTCAAATGAACTAATATGATGGCTGACTGGTCAAAAAAAATCATGAAAATTCACTTCATTTGGCCAACAAGTCTCCTATCACAATTTCAAATATTTTATTTCTGGAGCATTTCAGGTTTAGTTTTTATCATAAATTTTATGTGCAGGATTAAGCCATTGCACTGTGTCACATATTTTGTTGTACCAGTTATTTTGTTGATTTATGAAACAGTGAGTCCTCCAATATAAACCTGTATCAGTTGTCCAAAATAACTGGCTATCATCTTTTAATAAAATTTTGAAGGGGCCAAAATTTTATCGAAAGGAGAAAGTCAGTTAGTTTGGACTAGTGTGTCAGGTATCCTTCTAAATCAGATGTCCCTCTACAATGTATCCAGGGTTCCTTTAGTATTCAGGGGCCCCTATACATTCAGAGGTCAACCTATATCCAGGGTCCTTTTGTATTCAGGGGTCTCACTATATCCAGGGGTCCTTTTGTATTCAGGGGTCTCACTATATCCAGGGGTCCTTTTGTATATCTGGGGGTTCCTGTGTATATCCAGGGTCCCTCAGCTCTTTACCAGTGGTCCCTCACCTGTGTGGGTCAGTGTCTAACTCATTGTGTATTGCATGGACTGTGCATACCTCAATCTTTACAATCATAGTCCATACACAAATAATTACTAGGTTACGTTCTTGGAATATTGTTTTGCCAAAACAGATAATAGAGTTGGGATGTAAGTGGGTAGGGGTTTCATACATCAGCACATTTACTAAAAATTGATTTGATATTCAGTTTCAGTAAATTGGCTAATTTTCACAGGTATAAAATTTGGCCAATTTTCATTGTGTGAAATCTTTTGAGAAGGACAAACAATTTACCTGGATACTGTTACCATGATGACTAATGTGACCTTCACAGTTTATCATTTAGCAGACTCACCTTGTTTAAGCTCATATCGATGAAAGTTTGTTTTGTTGAGGTATTACTAAAGATTTGTTAAGGAAACCTGAAAAGGAGTCTTATCCAGATTTCTTTCATTTCGAATACTGTATGTTCATTTGTTTGTTTTACTTTTAGGGTATAAAGAGTAATATACAGATAAAAAAAACACCCATTGGCATGATACCAAGTAATATAACTTGTTCTGCCTTAGGCCGTTACCTTTAGATATTGGTGATCTGTTTCAGAGTTCTCCCCCTCCATTCTGCCCCGCTGGAAGGACCGTTGATGTTGATGCCATTGTGGATATCATCCAAAAGGCAGAGGAATTTGTTTATGTAGCAGTTATGGACTACTTCCCGACGACACAGTTCACTAAACCACGAGTGTAAGTACAGTGATGGTTTACCTAACTACGACACAGTTCACTAAACCACGAGTGTGAGTACAGTGATGGTTTACCTAACCACGACGAAGTTCACTAAACCACAAGTGTTAGAACATTCATGGTTTACCTTACTACGACACAGTTCACTAAACCACAAGTGTTAGTACAGTCATGGTAACCTAACTACGACACAGTTCACTAAACCATGAGTGTAAGCACAGTAATGGTTAACCTAACTAGGACACAGTTCACTAAACCATGAGTGAAAGTACATTCATGGTTTACCTAACTACGTCACAGTTCACTAAACCACGAATGTGAGTACAGTGATGGTTTCCCTAACTACGACAGTTTACTAAACCTTAAATGTAAGTAGTCATCAACTTCTTTACTTCTGCGGGGTTCACTTAAGCACAAGTGTATGTACATGTATGGACAATGACATAGTTTTGTGAAGCATGGGTGTAAGAACAGTTGTGGGCTATTTCCCTATGACATAGTTCTGTGAAGCATGAGTTATGGGCTATTTCCCTATGACATAGTTCTGTAGGCCATGGGTGTAAGAACAGTTGTGGGCTATTTCCCTATGACATAGTTCTGTGAAGCGCGAGTTGTGGGCTATGTCCCTATGACATGTTTAGTTCTGTGAAGCATGAGTTGTGGGCTATTTCCCTATGACACAGTTCACAAAACCACGAGTGTAAGTACAGTGATGGTTAACCTAACTACGACACAGTTCACTAAACCACGACTGTGAGTACAGTGATGGTTTACCTAACAACGACGAAGTTCACTAAACCACAAGTGTAAGTACAGTGATGGTTAACCTAACTACGACACAGTTCACTAAACCACGAGTGTAAGTACAGTGATGGTTTAACTTACTACGACACAGTTCACTAAACCACGAGTGTAAGTACAGTAATGGTTTACCTAACTGCGACACAGTTCACTAAACCACGAGTGTAAGTACAGTGATGGTTTACTTAACTACGACACAGTTCACTAAACCACGACTGTGAGTACAGTGATGGTTTACCTAACTACGACACAGTTCACTAAACAACGAGTGTAAGTACAGTCATGGTAACCTAACCACGCCACAGTTCACTAAACCACGAGTGTAAGTACAGTCATGGTAACCTAACCACGCCACAGTTCACTAAACCACGAGTGTAAGTACAGTCATGTTAACCTAACCACGCCACAGTTCACTAAACCACGAGTGTAAGAACAGTGATGGTTTAACTTATTACGACACAGTTCACTAAACCACTAGTGAAAGTACAGTGATGGTTAACCTAACTACCACACAGTTCACTAAACCACAAGTGTTAGAACATTCATGGTTAACCTAACCACGGCACAGTTCACTAAACCACTAGTGTAAGTACAGTGATGGTTAACCTAGCTACGACACAGTTCACTAAACCACGAGTGGAAGTACAGTCATGGTAACCTAACCACGCCACAGTTCACTGAACCACGAGTGTAAGTACAGTCATGGTAACCTAACCACGCCACAGTTCACTAAACCACGAGTGTAAGAACAGTGATGGTTTAACTTACTACGACACAGTTCACTAAACCACGAATGTGAGTACAGTGATGGCTTACCTAACTACGACACAGTTCACTAAACCATGAGTGTAAGTACAGTGATGGTTAACCTAACTTCGACACAGTTCACTAAACCACGAATGTGAGGACAGTGATGGTTTACCTAACTACGACACAGTTCACTAAACCACGAATGTGAGTACAGTGATGGTTTTCCTAACTACGACAGTTTACTAAACCTTAAATGTAAGTAGTCACCAACTTCTTTACTTCTACGGGGTTCACTTAAGCACAAGTGTATGTACATGTATGGACAATGACATAGTTCTGTGAAGCATGGGTGTAAGAACAGTTGTGGGCTATTTCCCTATGACATAGTTCTGTGAAGCGCGAGTTGTGGGCTATGTCCCTATGACATGTTTAGTTCTGTGAAGCATGAGTTGTGGGCTATTTCCCTATGACATAGCTCCCTGAATCTGAGTGTAAGTACAATTGTGGGCTATTTCCCTATGACATAGTTCCCTGAACCTGAGTGTAAGTACAGTTGTGGGCTATTTCCCTTTTACATAGTTCTGTGAAGCACGAGTTGTGGGCTATTTCCCTATGACATATAGTTCCCTGAATCTGAGTGACACTCAGCTGGTTGTACCACATCAGGATTACATCACCACAGATGTCACCACAAGAACATGCATACAAAATTGATGACATCAACAATAAAGTAATAATAATAATAATAATAATTCAGAATTGAATGGGCCCCATCCAGTAGCTTTATCAACATACATGTGTTTCATCAAAATATGTATTTAGAGTCAGTAATATGGAAAAAAATATAAAAAAAACTCCTCGGCTTTTATTCATGAAACTGTTCTCATGCTCAAGCATGGATTCTGTGCTCAACCCAACTTTCTTGGAACTGGCTTAAATCATGTGACATGATAAAAAAATGACCATGTGTAAACATGTGACGGTATTCAGATTGAAGTATTTCAGATTCCTCCAAATCGTAGACCAAATGTCAAGTTTTATTGGTTTATCACCATACAAGAAATGGGGCTTAAGCACAGAATCTGAGTTTTAGCCTGAGAATGACTTCCTGAATACAGGCCCTGGATTCTCAATCAGTTTTTAGGTGTCTTGACTTTGTGTCGTGGCCTTCAACATCTATGGCAACTTGTATTTGTCTTCATCCTGATATCACTATGGCTGATACTAAACCTGTTAGTAAAAATATCTCAGTTGTGTATGTTGTTGGTATATGTGTATAGAAATGAAGGTGTTGGAGTTATAGACAGAGTTTTACAAGATTTATTTGAGTTGTAGATTTCCTTTTAGCCATTTAACCATTTCTTCTAATTTTGCTGTAGTTATTGGCCGGTGATAGATGATGCCTTTCGACGTGCAGCATTTAATCGTCGGGTCAAAGTTCACCTGTTGATTAGCTATTGGCAGCACACATGGGAGGACATGAAGATCTACCTGAGTTCTCTGAATGACCTCTGGTTCAAGTCCTACCCTGAACTGGACATAACTGTTGTAAGTATTTATCTATGAAATTTAAGGTTATTGTTAGTTATACCAGGTAAAGACAGCAGATTAAATGTCTTCTAATTGACTATTTGTCTATTCAAACATAAATATTGGCCTTATTATGCATGGTATTGGTTTGTCTGAAAATATGACAGATTTTGACCAACTACATTTGTATAAAGAGATTGCTTTTTTCTACCTAAAGGGGGATAACTCCTCTTTATTTAGATTCGTTTTTAGTCAACATTTATTATTATGGTTACTAAAAGATTTTTTATTTTTCAAAGAAAATTTTTGAAGTGCCTGCTTTCACTGATTCCCAGAAGAAGATTCCTTACGGCCGAGTCAACCACAACAAGTATATGGTCACGGATAAAACAGCTTACATAGGTATGGTAGAATTTTATGTAATTCATATAGAATACACATGGATATACTCCCAAGTACAATATGTAAAGATAATCCTTACTGAGTACCTTATAATTTATAGAGTCGTGTATAAGTACGGTATAATTGATATACAGTATTATAATATATAGAGTCGTGTATAAGTATGGTATAATTGATATACAGTATTATAATTTATAGAGTCATGTAAAGTATGGTATAATTGATATACAGTATTATAATTTATAGAGTCGTGTATAAGTATGGAATAATTGTTATACAGTATTATAATTTATAGAGTCGTGTATAAGTATGGTATAATTGATATACAGTAATATAATTTATAGAGTCGTGTATAAGTATGGTATAATTGATAAACAGTATTATAATTTAATCAAGTACTTTTCTCACTTCAGTTTAGCACTTTTTTCACGCAAGTTCTGTAAATTCATGACGGTAGTATCAATTCAGTAATTCTGTCAGGAAAATTCAGTACTTTTATCATAAAAGTTCCATTTTTAGCTCACCTGCCCAAAGGGCAAGTGAGCTTATGTTATGGTGCGGTGTCCGTCGTCCGTCTGTCCGGCGTCAACTTTTTACTTTAAACAACTTCTTCTCAATAACCAAAAGGCCCAGGGTACTGAAATTAGGCCTGTAGCATGCTGGGATGAAGGACTACCAAGTTTAATCAAATGAATGACCTTGATCCACTTTCAACCTGATGTCCTTGTTCGACATTCAAGGTCACAGGCGTCATATGTTTAAATCTTTAAATATGTTCTTACGAATCAAACACTGATATTCTGCCTGTAGCTGTATTTTAGTCCACTTTTAAGATTACAAGTGTGAGATTAATACCAGGTGAGCGATGCAGGCCCATCGGGCCTCTTGTTCTATCATATAAGATTAATACTTCTGTCACATAATTTCAGTACATTTCTCACTTAAGTTCAAAACTACTGTCACATAAATTAAGCATGTCTTTCACATAAATTCAGCATGTCTGTCAAATAAATTCAGCATGTCTGTCAAATAAATTCAGCATGTCTGTCACATAAATTCAGCATGTCTGTCAAATAAATTCAGCATGTCTGTCACATAAATTCAGCATGTCTGTCACATTAATTCAGGACTTCTGTTCCATAAATTCAGCATGTCTGTCACATAAATTCAGCACGTCTGTCACATAAATTCACCATGTCTGTCACATAAATTCACCATGTCTGTCACATAAATTCAGCATGTCTGTCACATAAATTCAGCATGTCTGTCACATAAATTCAGCATGTCTGTCACATAAATTCAGTTCTACTGCCATATAGTTCAAATTTATAATAATAAACTCAGTTCTTTGATCACTGAAGCTGCGTACTACTGTCACATACATTCAGTGTTTCTGTCACGACAACAGTAAGCAGGTTAAGAAGTGATAAGATATGAAATGATTTTCATATAAGAAGGTAGATAACTAGTTATTTAGAAAATGTCAAACGAAACCAACAGGAGACATTCAATTTCTAACACAGCATATTGTCAAGATACCATAATCAGTACAAAAAACATCAAAATACATTTTTCATTGAAAGTAAGATATTCAACAGACCATCACAGGATTTTTTAAGTTTTGATTTTTTTCATCAGGGACATCCAATTGGTCGGCAGATTACTTCATCGACACAGGTGGAATAGGCCTAGTAATAAACCAGCAGAGAACTCCAGCCTTATCTAAGGAGGGTGATGTACGACAACAGCTAGAGGATGTGTTTCTTCGTGACTGGAATTCCAAATATGCATGGGACTTTAATACGTTTAACTTCACCTCTGTGGACAGGCATACTGAGCTATGATTAGGGACAGGCATACTGAGCTAGGATTCGGGACAGGCATACTGAGCTACGATTAGGGACCGACATACTGAGCTAGGATTAGGAACAGGCATACTGAGCTAGGATTAGGGACAGGAATACTGAGCTACGATTAGGGACCGACATACTGAGCTAGGATTAGGAACAGGCATACTGAGCTAGGATTAGGGACAGGAATACTGAGCTACGATTAGGGACCGACATACTGAGCTAGGATTAGGGACAGGCATACTGAGCTGGGATTAGGGACAGGCATACTGAGCTACGATTAGGGACCGACATACTGAGCTAGGATTAGGAACAGGCATACTGAGCTAGGATTAGGGACAGGAATACTGAGCTACGATTAGGGACCGACATACTGAGCTAGGATTAGGAACAGGCATACTGAGCTAGGATTAGGGACAGGCGTACTGAGCTATGATTAGGGACAGGCATACTGAGCTACGATTAGGGACCGACATACTGAGCTAGGATTAGGAACAGGCATACTGAGCTAGGATTAGGGACAGGAATACTGAGCTACGATTAGGGACCGACATACTGAGCTAGGATTAGGGACAGGCATACTGAGCTATGATTAGGGACTGGCATACTGAGCTAGGATTAGGGACAGGCATACTGAGCTACGATTAGGGACCGACATACTGAGCTAGGATTAGGGACAGGCATACTGAGCTACGATTAGGGACCGACATACTGAGCTAGGATTAGGGACAGGCATACTGAGCTACGATTAGGGACCGACATACTGAGCTAGGATTAGGGACAGGCATACTGAGCTGGGATTAGGGACAGGCATACTGAGCTACGATTAGGGACCGACATACTGAGCTAGGATTAGGGACAGGCATACTGAGCTAGGATTAGAGACAGGCATACTGAGCTATGATTAGGGACAGGCATTCTGAGCTATGATTAGGGACAGGCATACTGAGCTATGATTAGGGACCGACATACTGAGCTAGGATTAGGGACAGGCATACTGAGCTAGGATTAGGGACAGGCATACTGAGCTACGATTAGGGACCGACATACTGAGCTAGGATTAGGGACAGGCATACTGAGCTAGGATTAGGGACAGGCATACTGAGCTAGGATTAGAAGACTGGTTGGTGATATTTCCAGGGTTATGCTAAACTTTCAGTGACATTGTTGTACATGTACCACATGTACTTGGTGCCTTTTTCATACAATATATTGGGTATGTTTGATCAAATCATCCAACTTATTTTCTTCAAACCACTGCAAAAATTCCAAAAAGTTCATAATTTGCCATACATTTTTTTCTCAGTACTAGCCCTATGTGATTTTAATATATAATTTGTTTCTGTTAATAAGTAGTCTAGATTATAAAAGCTGTATAATGTATGTTGTACATATGTTTTTCACAAGTGTGGTATACATGGTATTTCTATATGTTTCACATGAAATTCATGTTTCCCATGTATGATTCACATGTAAGTCCATTATGCACATTTGTATTTACATGTATGTTTCACATATGTATCTGTATGTTTCACATGTATCTATATGTTTCACATGTATCTGTATGTATCTGTATGTTTCACATATGTATCTATATGTTTCACATGTATCTGTATGTTTCACATGTATCTGTATGTTTCACATATGTCTCTGTATGTTTCACATGTATCTATTTGTTTCACATGTATCTGTATGTTACACATGTATCTATATGTTTCACATGTATCTGTATGTTTCACATATGTATCTGTATGTTTCACATGTATCTATTTGTTTCACATGTATCTGTATGTTTCACATGTATCTGTATGTTTCACATGTATCTATTTTTCACATGTATCTATATGTTTCACATGTATCTGTTTGTTTCATATGTATCTGTGTCCAAGACCACAATGCCATATACATATAGTCTAGGACCACAAGGTCATATACAGACAGTCCAGGCCCACAATGCCATACACAGATAGTCCAGGACCACAATGCCATATACAGACAGTCCGAGACCACAATGCCATATACAGACAGTCCAGGACAACAATGCCATACACAGACAGTCCAGGACCACAATGCCATATACAGACAGTCCAGGACCACAATGCAATACACAGACAGTCCAGGACCACAATGCCATATACAGACAGTCCAGGACCACAAAGCCATATACAAACAGTCCAGGACCACAAAGCCATATACAAACAGTCCAGGACCACAATGCCATATACAGACAGTCCAGGACCACAATGCCATATACAGACAGTCCAGGACCACAATGCCATATACAGACAGTCCAGGACCACAATGCCATATACAGACAGTCCAGGACCACAATGCCATATACAGACAGTCCAGGACCACAATGCCATATACAGACAGTCCAGGACCACAATGCCATATACAGACAGTCCAGGACCACAATGCCATATACAGACAGTCCAGGACCACAATGCCATATACAGACAGTCCAGGACCACAATGCCATATACAGACAGTCCAGGACCACAATGCCATATACAGACAGTCCAGGACCACAATGCCATATACAGACAGTCCAGGACCACAATGCCATATACAGACAGTCCAGGACCACAAAGCCATATACAGACAGTCCAGGACCACAAAGCCATATACAGACAGTCCAGGACCACAAAGCCATATACAATTAGTCCAGGACCACAAAGCCATATACAGACAGTCCAGGACCACAAGGCCATATACAAACAGTCCAGGACCACAAGGCCATATACAAACAGTCCAGGACCACAAGGCCATATACAGACAGTCCAGGAGCACTGTGTAACAGATATGCTTTACTGATACACAATACAGTTTAGAGAGGTATGAAAACATAAACCATATCCTCATCAGAATAAATATGATTTCTGTGTGATAAAATTTATTGAAAATTTGGTCGTAAAAGTTTCATTTCAATTATCAATAACCTGAGGTCTGTTATAAATAATAGAAAAATCATACCTCACCAGTGACAAAGTGTGTATTGAGTATTTATGTAGATTAGGTATGACCGACATTCCGTACGTTTCCCACTTTTCCTCCTGATTGCTGTTAAAGTTTTGCTTACATGTTTACTTCCACTCTTACAGGTACATTCCCAGTATATATCCCACAAAGACATAGGTATCAACTTCATTGTAGCTAACTGTATTGGACGTGACAATGGATTTACTGTCCAAGTGCTTAGTGTAACGAACAGAAAACTTCCTTATTATTATTTAAATGAAGGGAAGCAATAGGCTCTATTAGTACTGGTTCTTTCAATAAAAAAATAATTTTCTGGTTGTAACTTTTTAACCATTTCAGATAATTGCATTGAAGTTGAAGTATGTCTGCATCACACTTAGATGGTGTGCACTGCAGTGAACTTAGGTCACCGATGACCTTGGCCTCAAGGTCAAATGTCTTATAAGTGCAAAGTTTCCTGTAAATCTTGTTTAAGCCATAGCTTTTAACCTATAACCATTTTAACCATATTGATGAAGCTTCAATTATTCATGTATCATTTACAGAAGTTGTCTTTTCACTGTCCATGACCTTCAAAGGTCAAATAAGTGGAAAATGTCTGTGAAATTTTGTCCTGTTTGTAGATGTTAAACTGTTGAAGATTTCTTGATGAAACTTGAAGTATACCAATGTTATACGGTCGTGTGATCCTAATCACCTTTAGGTCAAAGGTTGAACTTGTACAGTTTTATGTTTTTTGCCTATTTTGTCTGGGCTATGAATTTAAAACTGTTAAAGATATATTGGTAAAACTGTAAATGAACCTGCATGATTTCCTACAGAGGATGTGCAGTACGACACTGTGAAATTAATTCTGGGTCAGAGGTTATATACATAGGGCATTGGCGCATAAGGGACATGAATTCTGGGTCAGAGGTTATATACAAAGGACATTGGCTCATAAGGGAACACATATGAAGTCAACAAAAAGAACCTTCTCATTGTTTCACTAATCTCTGCAGTTTAGATATGACATTAGCAGTTGGGAGGAAACAAAACAAAACTCCTGTAATTACAAAACTCCTGTTATAACAAAACTCCTGTAATAAACAAACTCCTGTTTTAACAAAACTCCTGTAATAACCAAACTCCTGGTATAACAAAATTCCTGTTATAACAATACTCAAAAACTCCTGTTATAACAAAACTCCTGTTATAACAAAACTCCTGTAATAACAATACTCAAAACTCCTGTTATAACAAAACTCCTGTAATAACCAAACTCCTGTTATAACAAAACTCCTGTAATAACAAAACTCCTGTAATAACAAAGCTAAACAAATTGGACTATGAAAAAAGTATTTCCAAAATGTTACTTTTTGGGTGGGGTCAACATAAAATTTAAACTGAAACAAAAAGCAAAAATAGTTTGTAAATTTATAAATTACCAAGGAAGTTATCGGAGGATTATTTTCTTTGTGTCACATAATAAAAGGAGCTTACTTCCCCATCACTTGTCAAAGTATTGTCAGAAAATTTTGTGTGTTAGGTTTTTGTATAACAAATTACCAACTTCCCACTTACTAAGCAGGAATGTTATTTTTTTAATACAATCATAAAAAGAAACAGGACACAAAAATCTGATAAAATATGGGGAAATACATTGTATATCCCTATAAAAAATTATGTTTATGAATTTGTGCCTAAACAGCCGTGATATTTCGTGTTCAGTGTTACCTTGCATTGGGCTTTATGTTCAGTTTGACATGACTGATATTTTGCTATTAAAGCAAATTTGTTGGCCTATCTTATCTCAGAACAAATGTTAACTGTATCTGTAGCAGTAAAAACTAGGAGGCAAATATAGTCTAACTATCCCAATGTCCATATGTCAGTATTATTGATAAAAAGATTGAATCAGTAGTGTATTTATAGTGCCACTGGGTTACAAGTACAAACATCCTCATAACTATCTGAGGCGTTATAAGAGGATTTACTGCCTGTATGGTGTGTCATAAAGATTTCTTCCTAGGGAAAGAGGGAAAGCATGTTTTGATTCAAATTGAATTTTCAATATTTTTATATCCATCCACTGCTATTTTGTACGAAAATATATGCACATAAATTATGTTATTTTTCAATTTCCATGCAGTATTTTTTATAAAGATAAAATATATGCACAAATGTCCTGGTTTTTGTTACACGTTCAGTGAGAGATTGTAATGTGTACATGGCTTGCAACATATGTGGAAAGATAAAATCTCTTTCAAAGAAAGTATTACAGATTTAATTAAGATCCCAGGTTACTTCTTTATCGAGAAACAACTATATCCTGGTACCCCCTTGCCCATGACTTACTCTAAATATCATCAAATGGAAGCTTTGGTAACCTTCCCCCATAATTCTCCTTGCTGAAAACCCTATGCCAACCTTGTTATTCTGCTGAAATATCACCGGTAATCCCTGTTGTCGCTCATTATACTCCTGCAATGAAGTAGTCGGGAGGAGGGAAGTCCTTTGATGGTTGATGGGCAGTGGCACCTTACAGTTTTTCTCCTCATGTCTGCTGCATGTCCAACATGATGCACGTTCTGCAGCCACAGCTAATCGACGCACCTCCGTTTTGCATGTCTTTCTTGACTGCATGCAGGACATGACACTTTTTTCAGACTGCGTGTTCTTTCAACTTCCTGCACCAATATCCACAGGAATAGTGAAGCACACCATCCTTGCTCCATTGTTAACTTGATTATTATGATGTGCCTGGATTTGGCACGCAATGTCACCATACTTTCGCTGAACCACCGTCTCTCCTGCCCAGGTCAATCTTCATTTCTCATATCGCTGTCTCCTTTCAGAATGTTAACCATGTGGTAGCCAGGTAGTGCTCCGATCCTTTTCTTCACTGCTCTCACAAACCGGATGAAGGATAGTTTGTGCTTGAAGAGTGGTTTCTTGTTTAGCTGTTTCACATAACAAATATCTGCTTATACTAGAAGCACATGACCATACTTCCATTGGGTTCTTCCATAGTTCAGCGCTGTTTGATGACAGGGTATATAACTATGTCCCATCGTTCTCTTTTCCTCGCAAAGATGGCGTTTTTGTTCCTCGATTTGTCTGCACTGTTCCATGTTTACTGGCAATGGTGGCAACTAGATCAGCTGTGGTTCCGATTGCCAAAGGTCGGTACCGATCACATTTTGCCCTGTAATCTTCCATCTTTATTATGTTCCCCGTGACCCTATTTCTACTGCCCT